TAATTCCATCTTCAGGATATACTGTACTTGATTACTGAATAGCAAGTACTAGAAAGAGAAATATAATACAGTAACTTTTTTATTTTAATATATGTGGGGGAGCATGACAGGCTCTCGGTAACTACATCCATGGCGAGGCAACGGACTAGACCATGTGCCGCCGACCTTTGTATCAGACCTTGAATAATACCGCGAACCCTTCAGGAACGGACATACAAACTCATATAATTACTACAGACATTCTGATCTTTGCAAGGATTAAGTAACAGGAAGTAGCAGCAACTAATTTACAATCCGTAATTGGCAGTTATCACAGCTAACCTTGTTACAGATGGATAATTACTCAGTAATGTGGGGCTCCTCGGACTGTAGCCTAACCGCCAATTTACCTGTGGTCGTCCTTTCCCTGTAGTTAGTAACACCTCGTTAAACCTTCATTTGCTTGCCCTAACAAGACGCTAAACCTTCATTTGTCTACCACAATAAAATATAACCTTTGGCATAACTACTTGGACAACAATGCAAACCTTCACTAAATTACCATAACATAACACGGGTATAAATAGCGTCTTTTTAATAACAATGATAAATAAAGCATCAAACCTATATTTAACAAGACAGTATTAAAACACAAAACACTAAACCTCCAATTAACTACCATAACATAACACAGCATTACAGGAACATAAATAACATCTAATAACGTTAAACAAAGCACTAAACCTTCATATGACCGCCGTAACGCAACAATAGTTTTACACAAATACTATAACAGCTACAACAAAAATGATGAACGCCCTCCTTAGCGTTACTCACTAAACCTTCATTTGATTATGGTGGTGAACAAGTGTAAATAACAACCCTCCAAAAATATATAATGAGTTTTGTTGATATAAAACCTCGAGAGGCGTGGCGTGAATTTCAACCACAAACCTCGGGAAACTGGGAGACACTAACACCCGGACCTAAGCCCGGAACCCCACTGCAAATGCTATACTAACATCGCTGGTTAGGTTAGGTTAGGTTTGGTTGATTTAGAATTTCAGGGACCAAATCAACCATATACTGTTAGTCAACCAACCCCTAACAACCTAATTTAATCTGAATCTATATAAGCTAAAGAAACCTCTAACAAAGTCTAATTTAACTAAACCAAACCATGAACATTCGAGGCGAGTAACAGGTCCTATTAACCACGCAAAAAGGGGAGGTGGGGTGTGTGTTACAAATGAGATATCCATTTTAATAACAATCTCAGGCAATATAACTACAGGAAACACCAAGGCACATTTAGTGAAAGAGTTCTGAGGCCGCAATTCTAACAAAACTGAAATCGCTTACAGCCTCTTGTCCGCCAGACTTTAGAACACACGGTGGCCTATTGCGTCGTGTGGTTCATGGTTGATAGAGGATGTCCTGTTTACACGGCAGGATTTCCCCTCTTGGGTTAAACGTTCAAAAGTATGGATTACGTATGAATCAGTCCACACGTTTGCTTAATAAATATGTAACCTCGACTATTAATGTTTTTGTATTGGATGTTCGTGTATCGACGGTGTGAATAGACAAGGACAGTAGGTTTCTCTTAGTCTATAGTTCTAAGTGGAGGCAGCAGTGCTTGACTTCCTCTGTAGGTGTAACTTCAAGGAACTCATTACGTATGAATCACGCCAAACCTAACCTATAAATTTGCAAATGTGTGTATATGTCTGTATGTGTGTGTACTATTCGTGTATTTTTGTATTCACTGTGTTTGCGTATGTGAATAGTTATGGTGTTTGAAAATCAAGGGTTATTACTCTGTGTGTGTGTGTGTGTGTGTGTGTGTGTGTATGTGTGTGTGTGTGTGTGCTCATGGGCGTGAGTGGGAGGGAGACATTAAAGTATACAGGTCTGTACCATAATCAGTGTCAGTAGCGACTATTGACAGATAACAAGTGTGAAACCACGAATGATCATTGTGTGAGTTCTCTTGGCAGTGTTCATCTTCCAAATAAGTTAGCAGGCGGCCATTATTGATAAGTCATAGAAAAATAAACTGTTTGCGGTAACCTGAACGTCCTCAAATGATATATATACTGCAGCTGCGCCCTTTTTTTCTTTGCAAACCAATTCTGTTCACAGAGAGGTTAGTGATGGTAAGAAGAGGCAAACTGGATCTCCAAAAACCCCAAAAGAACCAAGAACTGTGACTGGATTATCGGTTTAACCTTCAAAGGCTACTTAAGCTGAAGTTATGGTCACAAAAAATAGGAAAAGTTACAGGAATGTCCCACTTGCCCCAGTAGGCCTATAGGCAGAAAATAGGAAAATACAGTGATGTTGATTCGTCCACCCTAGTATAATATACCCGTATATATTGCAACTCACTTATTTCAAACTTATTATTATTATTATTATTATTATTATTATTATTATTATTATTATTTGGCACAAAAGATATGTACTTCCCCGAACGTAGCCAGCTTTAAAAAAAATAAAAAATACGTAGAATCATTTATTTTTAACAAAATAGTTTGTCTGACTCAATAGGCTCTCACATTATTTAAAGAAAATAGGTCTAAATATGATAAAATTTAAAACTTTAATTACAGTTTGTAAGCCATAACGTACAGATTCACAAATTCCTTTATTTATTTATTGCTTTTTTTTTACTGTCCCCAAAAAAGTTGAATATCGGGAGAGAAATAAACCGGAAACTTTTTATTGTTGGGTTTTATCGTTATGATCATCTTGTCCCGGAGTGGCTGAACATACAGTCACTGGTGCAGGGGTAAACCTTGTCATGTGTACGCTAGGCTAGGCTAGGCCGAGGGCAGCGTTGTCAATTGTACGCTAGAATGTTACTGACACTTTCACCTGTAGCATGTTGAAGCGTCGGGTGTATAGGACAACGGTATGTAGCCTTGTGGGGGAGCAGTCACGTGTGGAGGTTGAGGGGGAGACTGTGGTGGGAGATAATGTCTAATATCTCTCTATATGTCTATTATTGTATTTACCTCTCACCTTCATCCTGATCTCCCTCTTTCCCTTTAACCTACCTGCTCCCAAAAGAAATCACTAAATATGTTACATCTAGTCCTTTGCTCACGATTATAACTAATTATATCGTCAAATAAATATAAAAACTGATTTCACACGGATGAGATTTCTTCCATCCCACAGTCAATGTCAGCAAGGACGTCCGCGAGTAATCCTCATTCTAAAACTCACTACCGCGAAGCTAATTACCATAGATAATACCTGCCTATAATATCGGACTCCGGTGCGTTCACCTAGCGAGGGAAAAAATAAAACATGATGCAATGTTTACATTAGGGCTGCCCCCTAACACACATACAATTTCACATTTTCCATGTTGCGCTTCAGTACTTGTTGAAGGATTCGTGATCATGAGGTGTATATTTGTCTATAGTATGGGATAATATACTCTGAAGGACTTTTGATCATGCAATGTTTTATTCCTGCGCTGCATTCGAGTGGAAAAATACAGTATATTAGTCATGCGTCATTGTAGGATGATTTGTAGTCCATAAGCCAACCAGTGCAGCCTACTGCTATACAGTGACGGGTTAAGACTTTCGTAGGCCTTAGGCACCTCCAAGATATGGGGCCCCATTTGACAGCATATTCACTAATAACACAAGCTAGTACCTAATTATAAAATGTGATGTCGAAAGAATAAGATTCAGTGATGTTTGCCATGAATTGAGTAAAAGAAAATGGGTTAGCTCAGCTGTTCTTGTACAGTACAGAAATAGTTTTGTTTACAAGAAGCACAGCTAGCTGGTGGACACTAATAGGATTAAGTAATAAATAAATGGAAAAAAGTACCTCAGTATCAATTTAATAATAACCTGTAGAAAAAGGGGAAGAAAAGTTCTCGTTTTATTTTTCGTAGGCCCCCAATATCTCGTAGGCCCTAGGCACTGTGCCTACTGTGCCTAATGGATAATCCGGGACTGCTGCTATAGGTCCACACATTCTCAGTAACCTGACTGACTCATGTAGGTTATATGCAACACAGGTGGCGGTCATAATGACACTGAAACTACCCTGACGTTACACACTTCAATCCCCAATTAGGAAGGAAAATTAACCTAAGATTTTTTTTTTTTAATAATTGGAGCCCGTGGTCACACTACAGGTAGTCATTGCGTGGTGGTGGAGGCTGAGGGAAGGAAGGGGGAGAAGAGAAGGAAGAATGAAAAGAAGAAGGAGGAGATGGAAGACGGTGTAGGAGGCATGAGATAAAGTAGAAGGGAGAAGAGGAAAAAGCGGGGGGAATAAACTGTTCCAGTGAACCATCTTCTCTACTTCGTCCTTTACACTTGAGAAAATCGTGGCGGTGTGATGAGCTGTGACAGGTTCCGTATAGTGTCCCGTTATGCTTACTGTGTTCCTAAGTATTTCTGGCACTGCGTTATGGTTGGGGTATACTTTGTTTATATACAGTAGTTCTGGTCGCTGTACGCCCCCAACGATTACAGAGCCCGTACCATTATTATATAATTGCGTATTGCACCTTGGTTATTGGGTATTCTGTTACCCGATATATTATACCGTGTCATCACTTATGTTTTACTATACAAATACATATATCATGACGAGTTAGTAGTCACTTTTATTAGACACGATATATTTATTGTAACATTATCACTGACGATCATCATTCATCATTATCATACTAATATCATCAAATCACCAAGAAAAACCATTACCATATTGCATGAAAAATCGACTAACATTGGTCCTCATTAAGCACCATCAGTCATCAATTACCATCAATTTAAAAGTCACTATCAAACAGCAGCACACGTAAAGCAATATCACCATGCAGTCTTCCCATCATCAGCACCAATCAACATGATCATCCTCATCATTACGCCTTCTTGTCATTATCTTCATATCTTCACCAACATACATCAACATCAATCATTCATCACCATACTGCCTTCCTCCCCTCCCCTACCAATAACCGCTACCTTCTCCCCCTCCAGGATGACACGAAGGCGGTGGGACCGAGGGTGGGAAAGCAGGCAGGAGGAGACGCTGATCCCTTGTGTGACTTCGGCTATGTGGAGGAGACCACTTGGTGTACATGGACCTCCCCAGGACCTAACGCTAACTCCAGGTGTGTGTGTTTACTATTGAGTGTTTGCTTGCTATATACCGATATATTTATACGTCTCCCACATGGATCACAATAAAAACAACATAAGACACATTAATGAACATTAATTCACATTTATCGAATACTCTATCGTTTTGTGAAATGAATAGCCTCCGGGAGGTCTATAAACATTTCTCGAAGTAACATTATTTATAAACCAAAATTATACGAATATAGGCTATGTATATTTTCAGGGCTGGATCCAGAAATTCAATGACGTCATGGACACTATCGACAGGCAGGGACGCTCTATGGGTGGGAGGTCCTCTTAATGACACCACCGGCGACAGCAGTGGTAAGTACTGTGTAGGGCCACCTGTCTCATACCCTGGCCGTTCCATTAACCCCAAGGAACAAAAGTACACTGTCTCAAGTGGAGACTCCTAGCTCAGCTCCAAGAGATGGTCCTAACCTAACCTAACCTAACCTTATTAATTTTGTAAAACCGTATACAAAAAAAGGACTGTCGCAAGGGAACTGTGGTATACGGTACCCTATCTTACACCCAGGTTGTTTCTGTCTCCAGCTATGGATGTCCTATAGTACTCGATAAATCTTATGGGAACCCAGACAGACTCATGATATACCTGCTGGATAAGGTATTTGGGTAACTACATCCTTGTGCCAATATTGACTTGTTTATTAGTATTATTATCGCAGAGAAAATAGTATGGGAGTAACACACCTCTCCAGCCTAGTGTGTTCAGCCTTGAGATTAATACATTAATGATAACTATGTTCCGTTCTCGTCCCTATAGGAGGCTACGCCTTCCACGAGACCTCCAGCACCCAGGACCGTCAGGCTCGACCCGCCGTGATGGAGTCTAACACTCTGGAACCCACAGGCGCTGACGGTACGCCCATGACTTACACGCACACCCTTGTTCTCCCGATCCTACACTGCATTTATCTCCCCCCCCCCTCCTAATACACGCCATAATCTATTACTTCCATACCCTCATACTGTACAGTATATACACCCCCCCGTAATTCATTACCCCCACCATTCTGTTATCTTCGCCCTCCAGGCCATGATTGACCTGTGCCCGGGTGGGCTAATCCCTGTAAAAAAAAAGAAAAAACAAGCTCCACTTCCCACCCCACAACCTCCCTATTCCCTTTCAGTTTCAATTTCTATTCACCAGGGAAGTGCCTCAAGTTCTGGTACTCGCTCGACGGGCTGAGCGCCAATCTGCTGAGGGTGAAGGTGAAGAGCGAGGACTCCAGGCAGATGACCACCATTTGGGAGACCCGCGACCAGACCAGAGGTGACTGGAAGGAGGCCCAGGCGCTCTACACCTTTAATGGCAACCACACGGTACGTTCACTTTACATACTGTACTGTAGATAGTTTAATTGGAGATGATATAAGCAGTTAGAAACTAAAATTCTACGTATTTATCAATATATCTAATTGCGTATACGATCTCCTTTGCTATATTACTTGAATTAATATTAACATGTTTGTAACTACAAATTTCTTAAACAGATTCCATTTTTATAACTATAAAGCCGGATATGACAGGAACAAATTCTCTGGTTGACTCAGCACAACAGGGAGTTCTATCTCTCATAATTTAGAATTTTTATTGGACTGGTGTATTACTAACCTTGCTAAGTGCTTAAAGGTCTTAATAGTTGAAGTGCAGTTATTGCACTGTAACAACAATGACTCAGCAAGTTTATTTCTTGACGTATTTTTGTCGAGATCAACAGTAAGTTTGTCTCAGAACACAAACTAGCTTCCCAGTGGACTTACATTCTTTGAATTAAAAGAAACACGTCTAAGAACATGTTTATACAGGTAAAATCTCCAGCGTCACCCGCACCAGGTACTTACCGAGGCGACCATCAGGCAGAAAGCTTGAAGAGAGTATTCACACACGCCTTAAAAAGCTTCTTCACAAATTAATTTAAAATTAACTTTTTTTCAATAAAATACTGTTCTGTGTATTGATATAATCATCCACTTCACAACTCAGGAAAATTTTGTTCGATGTTATATTGTATCTATCTACTTACACCTCACAAGTTATAAACGTGTCATTGCCAATAAATCACGGAACGTTATTGTCTGTGTTAAAACACTACACATATACAATACATAAAACCTTTTAGTTTTCAAGTAAACGGAAAGTTCATCACAAAACTTGGGTAATGCGCCTTGGAACACTGTAGTCCGCTGTTTAGTCGTCTTTTGTGACAATTAGGATGTTTTTGCTGGATTTAAAGGGTTCACATATGTTCAACTTTGTCACCTGGCACTAATACAGACCTTTTACTTAGAACATCTTGTAAGGAGCCCCAAAAAAACTCATTATCCGAGATCTATACACAACACATCCACCCCTAGCCATGGTCCAAGTGACACTGACTTTAAATGTCAAGTTGTCAACAAAAATGTGTAGTGACAGCACTAGGGTCCCGCTTCCTCTACCAAGGAATAAACGATTGAAATGTGTAGCTACAATTGTTTATTTCAAAATTTGCAGTTTTATTATTTCTAGCAAATTTGAAGTGTTAGAGGATGTAAAATACATTTCTTTCAAAGTTGTTAATACCTTACACGAAAATAGTCCTAAAATCCATAATCTTTCGAATTTAGTTGAAATGTTGAAAGCAGACAAGTTGGGATAATATTCGTTCATTGGCTGTCCACAGATTCCAGCCATGTTTACTCACTTCTAGTCACTTGTCTCCTCCTTGTAGTACCTGTACTGTAGGTAGGGTTAGGTTAGGTTAGGTAGGTTGGTTCCTTTGGTATGAGAATAGTCTTTTGTGTTTTTTGTGTTTTACACAAATCTGAACTCTATTTTTTTTTTTGCAAATTAGCGGTTTCTGTTAAAAATGAAAATGGAAATTTTTGGTATAAACCGCTGATTTGCACAAGAAATGAAAGTCAGATCTGAGTAAAACACACCAAAAAGACTCCTCTCGTACCAAAACCTGAGGACAGCCAATGGATGAATATTTGCCTTATGTTGGATTACAACGTCTGTTCTTTTAATATCATTGGTTAATGTTAATAAAAAATACATCATTACCAACATAGTCTATCGTGAGTTAATTTAAATATTATTGGAATCATGGAGGCCAACGCTAATACAGAGGGAACAGCACAAGAAGCTCCTGCAGGACTTGAAGCAGAAGAGGGAGGAGTCGAGGAGGAACGGGGACAGGTGCACATGGGTTATACTCAGGGGGAGGGTAGTGGAAACAAGTGTGCCGACACAGGGCCAGGGGGCAGCAGTGCACCCTCCACCCACTCAACCCCCCACCCGGGAGGCGGCACCAGCTCAGCCTACCGGACAGGAGGGAACGAGCGCCGTGTAAACAATGACATTTTTAACCACACCCTGCAAAATACAGTGTACTTAGCAAATGCTGCAGCTTCTGAGAATGTGGGTGGAGCGGGTTTATTACTAAGAGCAGAGACGTTACCGAGAACAAATTCTGGCTTGAATGTCATGTACACTAATACTGACACGTTCCTTGATAAGAGGGAGGAGTTTGAAACACTACTAAGAGTACACCAACCAGATATTGTAGGAGTTGTAGAACTGTTGTACAAGAACAGGAGAATCGACCCAGAGGAATGTGAGTTCAGTATTGCTGGATATGACTCATTTACGAACCTAACTCAAGAATCCTGCAGGAGGGGTGTGGTTATCTACGCTAGGCAAGACCTTAGAGCCAGCCAGGCGAGGGTACAGGGAGAGGATGTTTTTGAAGAGTCCAAGTGGTGTAAAATTAAATTAAAGGGAGGGGACTTACTTATCGTCGGGTGTATCTACAGATCCCCGAACTGTGGCCCACTAAATCAAAGGAACTTAAGAACCTTAATAAACAATGCGGCGATGCTCAACCCCAGCCACCTCCTTATCATGGGGGACTTTAACTATGGCGACATCGACTGGAGAAACGAGTCAACCCCGAATGACTTGAATAATCCTGCTACTCTTTTTGTAGAAACTCTGAGAGATAATTTTCTGTTCCAACATGTGAGAGACCCGACACATTACAGAGGGGAGCAAACACCCAAGCCACTTGACCTCATCATAACAAACGAGGAGGGTATGGTGGCCAAACTGGAACACCTTGCCCCAGTTGGCACCAGTCACCATACAGTGTTGTCATTCAGATTTAACTGTTACCTAGTTCAAGATAAGGCCAGGCCAAGGTGCAAATATTACAAGAGAAATTACAATGGGATGAGGGAAGAGATGAGGGGTATCAACTGGCCTGACTTATTAAGGTACAAGAACGCAGACACTACGCTGAATATCATAACTAGTAAAATGACCCATTTGATCGATAAATATATACCCAAGACCAAACCCAGTGCTTCTAGGAATACGAGGGGATCCCTACACATGAACCATGCGGCGGTCGACAAAATTAAGAAGAAAACCCAGAAATTCAAGACGTGGGTTGGGTCAAACGATGAGCAAGACAGGAGGATGTATGCAAGAGCCAGAAACCAAGCAAAGATAGAGTGTAGGAGGGCTGAAAAGGAGTTCCAAAGGCTGGTTGCACGCGAGGTCAAGTCAAACCCAAAGGCGTTTTACCACTATGCAAAGTCGAAATTGAAAACGCGAGTAAGAGTATCAGACCTGAGGCTTGAAGATGGTAGTTACGCAGATTCTGACCAGGATAAAGCTGAGGCATTGAACAGCTTCTTTTCCTCAGTGTTCACAAGAGAGGATGCAACTAACCTTCCTGCGTTTGAGGACAGACGGTTCGACACAGCACTGACCCACATTGTGTTCACAGAAGAGGGTATTAGAAATAAACTGTCCAGGCTAAAGGTCCATAAGAGTCCTGGACCTGACATGGTGCATCCTAGAGTGCTAAGGGAGCTGTGCAACGAGCTTGCAGAGCCCCTGAAGATTCTGTTTTGTAAATGCCTGGATGAACAAATGGTCCCCAGTGAATGGAAAGTGGCTTATGTGAGTCCTATCTTCAAGAAGGGCGATAGGCACTCCACGAACAACTATAGACCGGTGAGCCTGACCAGCATAATATGTAAAGTACTTGAGAGTATTATCAGAGATGCAGCGATGGAACATCTACTACGAAACAACCTTGTAAAAGATTGCCAACACGGTTTTATGCCGGGGCGCTCTTGCTTGACACAATTGCTCAAGGTATTGGATATTTGGACCCATATTCTAGAACGGGGTGGTAATATCGACAATATTTACCTAGATTTTGCCAAGGCTTTCGACAGTGTACCCCACGAAAGGCTGAAAATCAAACTGGAAGGGTACGGAATTCGGGGAAATGTCCTAGCGTGGATAGAAGACTTTCTACATGACCGCAAGCAATGTGTGGTGATTAATGGCACGAAATCGTCATCTGTACCTGTAACAAGTGGGGTACCGCAGGGTAGTGTATTGGGCCCGCTGTTGTTTGTTTGTTTCATAAATGATATGCCTGACGTTGTACACTCCTCCATACAAATGTTTGCCGATGACGCCAAGTTATTTCGGGAAATTAAGAACCAAGCGGACTGTGAAGAGCTGCAGAAGGACCTCTGTGGGCTCCAGGAATGGTCGAAGGAATGGCTGCTGAGATTCAATGTCACGAAGTGTAAGAGGATGCACCTGGGGCGTACCAACGGTAAGGAGGCGTACCATATGTCCCAACGGGATGAAGAAAATGTACTAGTTGAGACTGTGTGTGAGAAGGACCTAGGTGTGTATGTTGACAATGAGCTGAAGTTCTCGGGCCATTGTGAGAAGAAGGTAAATCAGGCAAATAAATTATTGGGTCTTATAAGAAGGTCGTTCAGATATCTAGACGGTCCGTCCCTCGTGACGATCTTCAGGAGTGAAGTGCTTCCCCATCTGGAGTACTGTCACCCCATCTGGTCCCCGAGATATGCTAGGGACTGTCAGTTGGTTGAAAATGTTCAAAGGAGGGCCACCAAACTGGTGCCTGCACTTCGGCATCTCAGCTACCCTGAGAGATTGGAGCGCCTGAACTTGCCTAGCTTATACTACAGACGGGCAAGGGGGGACCTAGTTGAGGTTTATAAGCATCTCAGGGGGCACTACTCAGTTGAGTGTCCTTACTTGGAGCTGGCGGACGCTCGCCCCACAAGGGGTCACAGCTCAAGATTGAAGAAGCCGCAAGTCCGGAAAACCGTGAGGGCAAACTTTTTCGGAGTGAGGGTTGTAAACTCTTGGAACAATCTACCAGAGAGTGTTGTGACGGCACCGAGTGTGAGCTCTTTCAAGAGAAGACTTGACCAACACTGGAGCGGGTTCAGGTACATTCAGGAGCCGGTGCATGCCCAGTATTTGCCAACAGTGCGTGACAGAGACGTGACCGATCGCCCGGGCGGCTAGCGAGCCGACCTTTTGGTGAAGAATATAAAGGAAAAGAGACGTGACCGATCGCCCAAGCGGCTAACAAGCCGATCAGTGGCGAAGAGGATAAAAGTAAAAGTAAGACTAACATAATGAATATGATTCTCTGAGCCAAGGTTTAAGTGCCGATCACTCCCCAGCTACACATCGAGCAATATTACAAATCCTTGGCAGAATGGTTTAGTCAGGAACACAAGTATGTAAAGTTACATTCAATATAAAATTCGTGAATATCCTTATTTTATTAGTCAAACATGTATGTGTAAGTTCTTCTTTCCTATTAAATAACAACTGGTATCCTTGGTGATTCACTTGGGTAAATATTTAGTTGTCAACACCTACTTATGTATTGAATATTGAGTCTTATATAGGAAGAGAAAAAACGCAAAAAATAATTTATTCTACGGCATTTCCGTCAGAAATTTATATTTTTTAGTGTTTTAACAAATAAAATTACCAACAATATTAGTTCAGAGTTGGCAGGGGTTTGGAGTTGAGGGGAAATGTTGGGTAAAATTCTAAAAAGAACACCAGACTAACTTTTAAAATTTTTATCTAAGCTTTACTAATTTGCATAAAGGTTAAAAATCGTTTTCGAGTTTATGGGTCTCTCCTCATCTGAACACTGAAAACAACACTATCAGAAATAAGGTAAAAACTTTTTAGTTTGAGGATTTTTATGGGTAGGTAAGGTTTTCAATTTTTTTTAGGGGGGGGGGGATTTTACCCAACATTTTTCTTCTACTTCAATGTCCTGCTTACTTTGAAAAACTAACATGTTCATAATTGGGGGGGCATCAGCTAAAATACTTTGGATTTGCTGTAGAATAAATAATTTATTTTATTTTTCCCTATATAAGATTCAATATATAATTAAGTGTTGGCAACTACTAAATATTAACCTTCATTAGTATTTCGTTCATTACTAGCATCTGCCTACCTTGATCCCTCACAGCTGGTGGTGGAAGCTGTACCAGCATCTGGTATTAACCCTTTCCACATCTTCCGGGGTCATGTAGCTGTAGATGACCTTGGGGTACGGGCGGGGCTAGAGTGTATTGGCCTGTGCTCCTTTGAGGGCGGAATGTGTGACTGGAGCAACGCTCGCAGTGATGACTTCGACTGGCAACTGGTGAGTGGCGCCATGCAACAAGTAGTATAATGGCCAATGGTTACAGCGAAGTACAGTACCACTAACAGGTCCACTAGATTATTTATTTTCCAGGTGGTACAAGGCAACTAGAACTACTATTCTAATATCACCTATACTACCTTAGGATCGTTAGGTTGGCTTAGGATAGATTCAGTTCGTGTGCCTAAAAAAGTGTGGATTTAGCAGTCCTCTTCATCAACTTAAAGATGGTTATCTTTTTGTTTTGTTATTCCTATGATAAACTTGGCCTTTTTCTTCCAGTAGAAAATTAGCTGTTGAGTTTTATTTAGCGTAAAATTGTCTAATAGGATTATCTCGTGGAAACTTGTCTCGTTACATTTTAACTAGTAGGATTCAGTCTGTGCAACTCTCTCAAATAACTACACTACTGTTGTGTGTATCTTAGGGACGTGGCACCCAGAACCCAATCACAGGACCTCCTAGGGATCACAGCAGCTCACAAGGTGACCTCCTTGGTGGTGCTTACGTCTATGTTGACTCTGGCTTCCCCAGGAGACCGGAGGACACCGCCAGGCTCGAGAGTATTGAGTTCCAAGAGACAGGTGAGAAATGATGAATTTATAGATAATGAGAATTTATATATAACATCACGTAAGAGTTTAGAGAAGGCATTATACTGTACAGGTTGGACCCCGCTAATCCGGTACCCAATAGTCCAGCAGCTACGATGGTTCGGGACACTGTCATAGCTCACTACTAGTGGCTGTTGCCACTATTTTACCTTTAAATACTTATAATTTACCCCTAAATAATCCTACTAAGAGACCAGCAAGCAGTGGAAGTGGTTGTAACGCAGCAAAACGTAAGCATTTGACATAAAAATATGTCTATTCTGAAGAAATTAAACAGTCATAGTATATTTTATGCATTATTTTGCCTTTTTAACCTCAGCTTCGATAGTACGGAATTTTTGCTAATCAGGAACCGGTCTGGTCCCAAGCTTCCTGGATTAGCGAGGTAAAACCTGTACAGTATTAAGAATTTTGTATTACAAAGAATGTGTAAGGGGAACTATATTAAATTGTTTTATAGAAAATGCTTATTGGAAGGGATTCAACTGTATACTGTACTCATCTACCAACAGACCCCAACAACCCACCGTGTATGCGCTTCTACACCTACATGTCAGGGCGTGGTGTAGGAAACCTTCATGTAATCCTTCAGGACGTGGTCTCCAGGAGGGAGCGAATCCTGTGGGGCCTCACTGGCAACCAGGGATCAGAATGGGTCATGGCTCAGCTCCCCCTCTCCTCCAACACCCCATTCAAGGTGGGTTGGCCAAATTATAAGGTTAATTGATAAAGATGGATACAAATTGACATATTTGATTATATTACCTCTCTTACTGTTGAACATAAAAAGAACTTTGAAGATCCATGTCCCTTTACTTTGACATGTGAATATTTTAGGTGTATCCTCATTTTTATGGTAAAGTTTTGATGTTAATCTTATTTTAGGTGGTGTTTGAGGCCACTATTGGAAAGCCACGACTGGGAGACATCGCTGTAGATGACATCACCATCATCTCGGGTCCTTGTGCTAGTGAGTGTCTTGGTATGTGTGTGGTAACTTTATCTCAAGCTGATGACCATATACAGTAAGAACATAAGAATGGAGGAATTTGCAGCGGGTCTATTGGCCCATACTGGGCAGTCCCATTTACACACAACCCCTATCGCTCATATATCCATCCAACCTATGTCTTAAACTATCCAGCGTATTCGAGTTAATGCTGTTGTTTGGTAACTTGTTCCACTCGTCCACTAAATTTCCAAACCAGTGTTTACCGATCTCGCACCTAAATCTAAATTTGTCTAATTTTAAACCATTGTTACGAGTTCGATCCTGGTTGAATAGTTTGAGTACTTTTGTTTTATCACCTTTGTTTAGCCCTGACTTCCATTTATACACCTCAATCATATCTCCCGTCACTCTCTGTCTCTCGAGGGAGTGCAAATTAAGATCCTTTAACCTGTCTCTGTACTCAAGGTTCCTAATGCCTGGGATTAGTCTCGTCATTCTCCTGTAGTTGTTACTCCACTCATACTCACTCTCGTTACATCATTTTGCCCACAGGCCCTGATGTGAGTCATTGACCTGTGCCCGTGTACTAATCCTGAAAAAAAAAATTCCTCGTTCATATACAAGCTAGAAGAACACTTAGTATGCGGAGTGTTATTTGGGATTACTGTACCTGAAGATTAGACACCCTAGCTTATTTCACCTGAAGATTAAACACTGTATTCAGCCAAAGGGGTTAAATTAGCATTAGGGTGGTTAATCTTCAGGTAAAATAAGCTTGGGTGTCTGTTCATCAGGAGATCTGTTATTTGATGCTCATTCTTTAGTAATTATATAGTGGATGTTCACTAGGTATATGACTTAAATCTCTTCAAACTTCCCACCCTCAAGCGCTCCCAACCGTGGCCTCCCCGCCCACCTCAGGAGACTGCACCTTTGAGGATGACACGTGTGGCTGGACCAACCCCAACCTCAGGCAGCAAGTGGATGATCTGGACTTCTCACGAGTGAAGGCGTCTAACTTTGTGTTCCCCACCACCGATCACTCCACCGGTAACCAGCATGGTATGTTGATATGATGGGTTGAGAAAAAGAAGTAGAGAGGTGTTTTGAGGGGAAATACACGACTTATCATAAATACAAGAATAATTAAATACTTTATTTAATTAAATATTCCCAAACAATGGGGAATTTCAACTGCCATTCAGGCAGTTGGCCTATCCAGTGTTAGTATAGAAGGAAACCAGGAAACCTTTGATGTTTAGTAGGGTCACACTGGATAACACCCTTCTCACATGTGTCCGCAAACCCTTGACAAATTGGTGAGAGTTACACATGTAACTGCTGTACCACCAACACCTCCTACAGTTGACTCTCACCAATAACGTTTAATAGGTGCCTGAAAAACACCGTTATTAGCGAAAACGTTATTTGTGTGACATTAAAATACATGTAAAAAGGGTTTATTGGTGCCGCCGCCACAAGAATTTCACCCATTTTTTCCCCTTGAAGCCCTCCTAACACTTTATGTTAGCTGAAATAAAAAGAATTGTTATTCAATCATCAAAATAAAGAGTTTGAGTAATATAACACTTAGCTTGGGGGAGTTTTTGAGGTGCTTGGTGTGATGATTGTTCCGTATGAGGGCCGCTAACACTTGCACTGTCTTTCATTCTACAAGCTAACCATTTCACAAGAAAATGCTCGGTTATCACTAACAACCTGTTTCTATCGCCTTTATCATTCATAGCTCGCCTCGCATTTCCATCACTACCGAAATATTTTTAGCCAGCGCAATACTCTTCTTGGTCTCCTCTAAGTTCCTCTTAATATTCCCTCACTTTAAAAATTCCCAGTCATTCAGGTGGCAAATCACTCCCTCCACCACCTCCCCTAGCCCCCACAGGCAAAAATGCGGAAGCCATTATTGATCACTGACCCTAACAACCACTGGTTATAGAGGCAAAAATCTCGCATGTGGGCGCAGTGCTGTATTCCACTGAGCGTGTGTGAGAGTGAGACGGACCGGACAACTACGTCATCAACATGGCAGCAAACAAACGCGATCATTGATGGGCTCGGACGCTTCCCGCGAAATTTCCGTTATTCAAGAGAATCCAGACGTTATTATCGAAAATGGGTATCTATTGTAACTTACCGTTATTGTCGAAAACGTTATTGTGGAAGTCGTTATTGGCGAGAGCCTACTGTACTATCTTTGATTGGATGTCAGAAAAAAACAACACTACCCTAAAATTAAGTTAATCATGATTTAAATCTCAATCCTTCCCCTGCACAGGTTTCTACGTGGCCCTGGAGAACCCAGAGAGAAAACTGGAGGGTGACCGGGCCTGGCTACTGTCTCCAGTCATGAAAGGTCAACGTCAGATTAAATGTCTTTCGTTCTGGTGAGTAACTGTTGATAACACTTGTATAATTTTACTTAAAACATGAAGGCTACCAACTGTTTTATTTTCTATCATGTTTACTGAATACTTTTTGGACCATTGTATATAATATTCTCAGCTCTGTACAGTTATTTGTATATGATATCTTCATCTGCCCAATATGTCTCGGCATTTCTCAAAAGTCAGCACATTTGAAGACCTGCATTTGACATCTTGTTTGTCTTGTATTTTCAACTCTGTTTTGTGTACCCTTTCATGTTAGTTTGATGTTTGTACTGTACAGTACTGGTATCCATTTCTCAGGTACTTGATGTTTGAACCCCTGGGTGAAGCAGAACCCAATCTTGGTTCCTTGAGCGCCTTCTTGATGAGAGAAGATGACAAGAGCTCCATCGTCCTCACACCCATCTGGTCACTGCAGAATTTCCAGGGACTCACTTGGTACTTTGGACAAGCTCCACTGAGAGCTGATGGAGACTTCAAGGTACAAAAATTAGGAAAAAATAATTGCATATGTTGTTTTGGGGACAGAGGCAGCCATTACTTTGGTTGTAATACCCCAATAACATTGTAAAAGTTTGAGCCAAAGATGGCTGGCAATATACAGAACAGTACAAGTATACAGAATTAAGAATTGATCTAGAAATCCAATTTCACAGCCATGACCAGAATTAGGTGGCTTACAACCTTCCCTCCTCACATGGATGGTGTAAAAGTCTTTCGGGTATAAATGAGGACTGAAACCTGGAAGATGTGTATGTCCAACCCAGAAGACAGGCTACATGTTGTGTTTAACCAACCTACTACTCTCTCTGTGCTCCATGATGAAAAAGCCTTGGCTCCAAAATTCCCTGTTTTAAGGCCATAGTTGATTTAGCCACCAATATCAAGGCTTTGTGAGTGCATTTACTGAAGCCACCTGATTCTGGACTCAGCCATAAAAAGGACTTTCAGGATTGATCCTTCATTTTTCTCTTCTTGTAGGTTGTGTTTGAAGGTGTGTGGGGAGCTGCTGACAGTAAAGGAACCATCGCTCTTGATGACATCAGCATCTTTGAGGGCAACTGTCCAAGTAAGTTTTAGTACTTAAAAAAAATGTTGAATGTACTACATAGTATTATGGTTTCATATTGTACATTTAAGCATGACAAACAAATTCTTAATTGTTTTGAGAAAAGAAGTGGTAAAAGTCAGTAAAAGTGAAACAGTCAATGGATACATACTAAGCTCAATATTTCCAAGGCTTCAAGACATACAGTATCTCTCTTTCTAGTGAGCAACACTGAGAATAACCTCTTATCTTAGTGACCATAAAAGTTGATGTAAAATACTCATTTATCATCCACAACAAAAGAATACCATCTTGAAGGTCACCCATAAGATTTGGAAGGGTTCAAACTAAAAGTATCATGGATATCATATTTGTCTCTCAAACCCACATCAAAAATGGAAATCCTGTATAGTGTACAGTACTTTTAACTCTTGTGAATGATAACTTACACATTACCCCGCCGTTATAGCAATTCCAGAAGCAGCTGTAGTTCGAGCTGGTGACTGCACCTTCACTCGAGGCTCCTGTGGTTGGAGAAACCTCACCTCTGACCCTGACTTCTACTGGACCAGTGCCTCTGTTATCCGCAGACCCATCAACATGAAGGACCACACTTATGGGGCTTCAGGTCAGGTGTAATTTTTTGCAGGTGTTTCTTCAGTTTTTTCATTTTCCTGTTCAGCTGGAGTATACAGTACAGTATTAATATTTGCAGTTTCTTTATGCAACCCTTCACTAGGTGTTACAGTCTTTGTGCCACTGAACATGGTACTATTATAGGAACAGTATATGTATTGATCCATCAATCAGAAATTGTCCCAATAGTTTGTGCTGAGCCATTATCAATTTTTTCTCTTTTTTTTTCCACTGAACAGCTGGTTACCTCTACTTTGACGTCTTCAATCTCAACTCACGAACCCAGCGTCTGCAGCTTGTGTCCCCAGTGATGGAGCCTTCAGTTGACCGATCTCCCTTCTGCTTTACCTTCTGGTTTGCAGGTTTCGGTGCCGACAACAATACCACACTTAAGCTCTTCCAACGACCTGCTCAGGATGACAATAACCAGCTCATAAATGACCTCACAGATGATATTCTGGTAAGTTATTGTTTACAGAGGAAAGTTAATTAAAATCTTATTAAGCACTGCTCTAAATTTTATATTATTAATGTTATTATTATTAGGAGAGTGATGGTCCCTTATGTATTCTACAAATATAAGATTATTAGTAAATATGAAAGCTTAAATATGAACCAGAAATACTATAAAAAAGGAATGTATATAATGACAATAAAGCACTACTGAAGACTACAAGACAAGGTAACAAAAGAATCAACTATGAACAAATCCTAAGCAACATCTGTTAGTTCCAGACACAACTCACATTCTGAGGGAGTGCAGTTTTATTCTTTACAGTAGAAAGTAACTTAGGAGTTTCTCCATTTACAGATCTGGAACTATAAACTACAACAGACTATTGAATGGGAGTTTGCACAAGTTGCCCTTGTATCTGGGACTCGCTTCCAAATAGTCATCGAGGGAAGTTCATTCAACGGTGGCTTCACAGTAGATGACTTCAAGGTGTATAATGGTGCTTGTGCCAGTAAGTAACAATTGTATTAACTTAATTGGAGTTGATATATGGGCCTTATTAGATATTAGATAGTGTTGGTGTTATGGTGAATAGAGGTACCTGTATATACTGTAGTTTGGAGTTAATATATTGAAGTTCAATCAATAAATGGTGTTTGTGATAAAGTAAACAAATTGAACCAATGCTTAAGTACAGTAATTTAGATGAAAGATTAACCCACTTGAGGATGTGAATGATTTTGGACCTGATAAAGAATGGAAAGGTAATCTAACTTTCTCCTATCAATTAGTTAACTTGTGTCTGAGAGAAGAGGAATACAGTAATATCTCCGTTAGCCGGAATCCCTCAAACCCGGAACTCTCCTATAGCTGGAATTGAAATTTTCTCGGAAAATCATTCCCAAAGCCGTAATTTTCTGGAAAATTCCGGCTTTGGGGAAAATTTTCCGAGGGGCACATTTTCCGGAATATTTTGAGAAAATTTTCCCAATACCTGGAAAATTCCTGGGATGGGCGAGTTTTTTCCGGGTTTGAGAGATGAAAATCAGGCGCATTTTCTGTAAATTCCGAGAAAAACTTTCCATTACCCGGAAAATTCTGGGGATAAGGGATATTTTTCCGGCTTTGAGAGAGTCGTCTGGTTACCCGGAATATCACTGTAATTGCTAAGTCATAAAGCACTTGCTCTTCCCATATATTCTTGCCCGCCTACATGGATGGAATAATAGCATCAATATATACATCAGACAGTCACAAACACCATCCATGTTCTGATCTAGACATTGTACTTATGTAGTAGTTATGCTTTTAGACGAGATAAACTGTAGTGCCAATCCCTCTCCCATGATCCAATCTCCTGAGTTACTGTTTATCACGCATAGGGAAATGGGGGACATTATTTTATACAATTGTGTTTCTAAAAGCTCTCTGAACTAAAACCCAAATGCTTATGAATTTTTGTTTAATGCTTGTGAATAATTCAGTGAGTTACATCAGATTTAAGAAAACTACCAAGAAAACAGACTCCCTCTCACTGTAAGTTCATATCCTTTTCTGTTTTTGTGCATATATTTCTTTCCAGAATAAAAATGCATTTTCACCCAGAGCATCTTTTTCTAAATGATTCTCTTTTTTTTTACTCTGAATTAAGGTAAATAATGCATTTCTTTATTCATAGAAGTTCACTACAAACCAGAAACTCTGTATTACACTTTATCTATCAGTCTTAAATTGTCATTTAGCTCCCCGGTGAATAGCTTCACATCCTATTATCCTCAATTTGTGAGTATAATATTGTATTGCACATTATCTGTTCATTTTAGTTTGTCAGTCAATTCGCAAATAAATTTATAATTTTTCACTTCACTTCCGGTTAACCTCAATTTGTGAGTACTGTACTGAATATTGTATTGTATTGCACATTATCTGTTTATTTTAGTTTGTCATTCAATTCCCCAATAAATTTATCTAAATTAGAGTTTCACTTCCCATTATCCTGAGTTTACAATTACTGTATTGCACACAACCGTTCAATCAGTTTCATTTCCATTTTGCAGTAAGAACTGAGTCACTTTGATACATCACCTCTGTTCTACTGGTTTAACAGGGACTTTTCTTTGTCTCTATCTGTCTTTCTCTTTTTTGCTCTCATGCCCATCTGTGACTAAGATGACTTACCTACAACAAGTAAGTCCCTGATATATGTTGTCTAGTTTAGAATTTTACTGGTACAATATTTCCCATTATGTTCGTGGAGGGGTGTATGTGGAGAGCTCTCTTTGTAGATTCTGCACTTGAGATTACGTACACACAAAAACAAAAAGAGTCGAATTAGCTGTATCAAAATATATATGTGAAAGGAAATGAACAATGGGGTTACATTCCTGAAATACTCATTGCAGGTTGAAATATCGCAAATCGGGATCATTATATCATGGGGTTCAATGGGATACGTTACCAGCCAGTAGGATACCCACATGTATCACCGAAAATATAATTCCTACACTACTGTAATACTATGCTTACAACACAATTAAACAACACTCACGACATCATTAAGAACAAGTCTTGTCGTCATTACATTTTATTGTCCCCTTCAAGGCAAAGGGGACTCTTCAAAGTGGAGTGGAGATGCCACTCTGACTCCCACACAGTCTCTGGGGAGTCTCCAGCTGTTTCACAATGTCAAGCTTCACCTCAGAGACACGGTTGTTGTGGATACCTTGGTCTTCCCAGACATTTACAAAGTTACACTGCTCAGTTCACAGTCACAAAAACAGAGCAAAAGCATTTGTCACAAAAACAGAGCGAACAATGATAACGTTATTGCGGCCAACACTGCTCACATCATGTTCACAACAACAGAGGCGAAGTACTTTACAGTCTCAAAAACATAGCAAAAATCACTTCAAATTCACCAAAACAGAGTACAATGTTAACATAAGTGATGTTCTCTCAATATTAAGTAGAAAAATAATAATAATAATTAACAACACCGATACTGACCAATGATCATGTATTATCATCGTGGAACAAAGTTTGAAACTGTAGTGCACCGGGTGGCGGCCTCCATATTCTACATTGGTCGGATGATGACCACCATCCCTGTGATTTTTTATCATTATACATCACCGTCATTAAAGCGAAATATTGTATATAGGGAGATCGTAAGTCAGGGGATACCTGTAGAGGAAGATGCCACTGAATTCTTGTAAAAATAGGCTAACAAGCCAATCAGTGGTGAAGAAGATAAAAGCTCTAATATAGGTTGTGGAACAGCTACAATAAGGAACACAACTGTTCAAAGATATATGAAAACCCATCATATGCTACAAGTGGAAAATAGATTAATTAATTTAATGAATATTGTACAGTAATATAATAAGCAAACACACAGGTATAAAAAGGTACATGTATGAAGGTAGAGGAGAAATATAATAATCCATTTTATCAAATATAAAGAGTAGAAATAGAGAATTATGATACTGAATTTATGAGTAAAGTCGGGGCTATTTCACCTTCACAAATAAGAATTTTTTATTAAATTTAATGGCGTACAGTAACGTGAACAACATAACATATGGGATTAAATGAAATAGAGACCGGCTGACCCCGAAACTCCACTTTTTCCGACACAATACCTATGTTCTAGTAAAAATAACATCTTAATTTTATGATGGTACATGCACACAATTAATACTCAAGAGAAATAGAGAAATACAGTCGCCAAGTTAATGTCCATTCAAATAATGGACTCAACTCCCACCCCCTCTTCTCACACTCGCTGGCTCTTCCCTCTCTGAGAAATGTTTGGGGGAAAACCACTAGATTTTAAGGTATAGTAATAAATAATACCTCAGACTAAAGTTAGGATAATATAATTGACATTGCTGGATTCCTTGTAAGACCAGGAATATTTTGAATATAAATGTCATATATTTTGCACAAAAGATAGCATATTTACTCAGAGTAAACAAAATACTTACATTAGATCTAAAATTTGTATGTCTAATGCAAAATCTATGATGTTTATATTCAAAATGATCATCAAATTGTAAGAATTCCAGCAATGTAAATTATATTCTGGCCGGGTAATTTGTATGAATTTTATGAGCTAAAACAAATATCTTCAGTTAATAAAAAAAAATAATATTCTTCACGACACTATCTGTCAATCAAAGTACCCCACCTTGCCTCCCCCCCTCTTCCAACCTCGCCAGATGGTCGGTCGGTCCCTCCCTCCCCCCCACCCCCCACCAACTCTCCCTACCAGAGAAATGTTTGGGAGAAACCAGAATATTTACCTTTTTAGTAATAAATAATACCTCAGACTAAAGTTAGGATAATATAATTGACATTGCTGGATTCCTTGTACGACCAGGAATATTTTGAATATAAATGTCATATATTTTGCACAAAAGATAACATTTACTCAGAGTAAACAAAATACTTAAAGTAGATCTAAAATTTGTATGTCTAATGCAAAATCTATGATGTTTATATTCAAAATGATCATCAAATTGTAAGAATTCCAGAAATTAAATTATATTCTGGCCCGGTAATTTGTATGAATTTTATGAGCTACAACAAATATCTTCAATAAATAAACAAAATATACTTACCGAAATACTATCTGTCAATCAAAATACCCCACCTCCCCCCCTCTTCCCACCTGCTCCCTGGGTCCCTCCCTCCCTCCCTACCCATCACCCCCACCTTCCCTCCCTACCAGAGAAATGATTGGGTTATAACAGTATATTTACATTTTTAGTAATAAATAATACCTGACTAAAGTTAGGATAATATAATTGACATTGCTGGATTCCTTGCAAGACCAGGAATATTTTGAATATACACGTCATATATTTTGCACAAAAGATAACATATTTGCTCTGAGTAAACAAAATACTTGCATTAGATCTAAAATTTGTATGTCTAATGCAAAATCTATGATGCTTACTTTCAAAATGATCATCAAATTGTAAGAATTCCAGCAATGTAAATTATATTCTGGCCGGATAATTTGTATGAATTTTATGAGCGAAATAAAAAAATTATACTTCACCTGCGTATATGAGTAGATGCACCGCGTAAAGTGGGAATTCTGGTTCTGGCAGGGTACCGCGTAAATGTAGAAACGCTTAAAGTGAAACCGCGTAAAGCGAGGGTTCACTGTAGTGTACTGTACTTAATAAACTGTAAATACAAAGTCAGGGCCAATCTTGCTCCCTGATTGTGACTGCTACAATGATCAGAGTCAGAGAACAAGAATCCAGTAAAGAACTTTGATTTTTTTTAATTCAAAATAATTAATGATATTCAATGACACAAATCTTGTTTTTATACTAGCAAGTAACTTCTACAATTAGGCCTAAATAATTTTAGTAACTGGGAAGAATTTACAAATACATACTGTAATATCTTAAAATTCACATATTTATTGCATATTACAGTATATTGATGCAGTTATTAATTGAAAAAATAAAGAAATACATGGAGCTTTGTCTTCAGTACAGTACAGTATTGGGTTCCATTGTGGGTAAACAATTGGGAAATGAATTAAAAAACCCAAATCACTCTCCATACAACTCAGAACTTATTTTATCGATGAATATGCCCCCTTAAGAGTTCTCCAATTTGTTGTTACACACACAAAACAGACCACAATTTCTAAAATGAAGAAAATTCTCTACTGTATGTGGAGGCTAGTGTTCCACACCCTGTCCACCCATCAGCTTGAAGCAGTAGATCCCAACTCCCATTTCAGACACATAAAACTGGCTGTTCATGAATTGGCTGGTTTATCCCCAGCTAGATGACAATCCTGCCTTGGCATGAAAGGTTGAGTTACTGAAAATTCATTTACATCATGATACAGTACTGTACTGTGATGGCCCCCGCATTCTATACTCACTTGCTAATGAGATTCAAATTGGACCATGCCAAAAAAAAATCTTTGTATCAGGACACCAAAAGGAAGCAAATTTCTAAAGATAATCACTTTACCTCTGTAAAATGCAATAACAATGACAACCAAAAATTACATACTTTAGTTGGAGCAGATGATTGCAGGACAGACACCTTCACACCCACTAAGCAAACAGCTGGGACTAAAGTTTGGGCTTATGGTGTCTCAGGTTATGACCAGACAAGTGACTGAAGTGATGAAGGAACAGCTGAGGTGGTGCTCTTGTTGAAGGTGGAAGGTGAAACTAATCATTTCAATTAATCATAACTGCAATATCAAGAGGTTAATGTGGTTAGTAACCCAATAGAATTTTCTGGATGCATAACCTAAGAACAGAGAACAGTCAGGTTTAATAATGGGAATACAGAAGAAAAAATATGAAACGGATGACTCGAGTAAAAGTGTCATCTGGAATTAATGAAAGAATGTAAATGTTCTAGGGTAGCATGTTATATCCACGACCATAAAACACTTGATAAACCACTTCTTCACTTCTCTTTCAGGGAGACCGAGAGACGGGACAGCTAGTGCTCGGACATAATAATTAGCCAACTCAATAGGGTCCTGTTGTTACAAATGAAATTGGTATCTTATTAGTTTTTTTAAATAATCAAAGTCAGAAAATTTGTGATTTCAGCATTTTCCCTGTAGTTTTTATAATTTTGCGTTCTCTTGTAGTCTTGTTAAAATGTTTATGCAGTATTTTATGAATACCTGTTGTGTTGGAATTAATGCCTAAAAAGGAATGTGTACAGACCATTTACCTAGACATGTGTTGGTACAAAAGAACTCTTAAACATGTGCATAATAATGTACTGTATTCTTAAGTAGTAGTGTGACACCGATTACTTTCTATGTATGATGTGGTATGAATGGAAATATTGTACTAACATTACAGGTAATATTAAAAGAGTGATAATGGTCGTTGGTCATAGGTTGCATCAACAATGGCTGGTCAAAATGTTCTGTCAATGTCAGTCAAAACTGGTAATGTATACATAGAGCAATCTGACCCAACTAGAAAGAAACACTGGTGCAGGAATAATACTGAGGATTGACAGATCATGAGATTTAGGTTTAATCCAGGGATAATAACTATGACTGATTTGGTAATATATTTTGCTACACATATGGCAGTTTGTCTAATGTGTCATATATTTATGCCTTACTAAATAAGTGGAAGAATAAAAAGTTTTGTTTTATATTGGTAGTACTGCCATGGGCATTAAAGGTCAACCAATGCACAGCCTAAGTCTCCTCCTGTATTATGTGAAAGAATGAACTGTACTTTAATCTCCAGGATATAACTTAAATACAATTCATTCATTCTATATGCTTAAGTTCTACAGCGAATCAGTTATGTGGAATATCATTGTCTGACTATATAATGTATGAAATTTTCACACTTACGTACGTTTAAAAGATTTTAGAAGAGGTATCTGTACATTATTGGGATGCTAGCCATTGTGCTTTCAACTAATATGTTGTAAATATCAAACACATACCCGGTACACCTTGGTACAATGTTGTGTTGGCTTGGGTGAAGTTCGCTCTTGGTGATGGTCTCTGGATTATTTTCTTCTTAACACGGCTTTTGGTTCCTATGCTATCTTGACATCACTTTAAGAAAGTTAGTGGCAGTGTCTATATGTATACATAATGTACAGTCCCACAAAAAAGTATTGTCAGATTTTCCGTCGCTACAGTTTGAAATGCTACACAAAGTGCTTTGATATGATCCCCAATGCATTATCACAAGTTGGTACGCCTGCTCACCATATCAGCAACAGCTAGAAATGGGGGTAGGATTGGGGGGGGAAGTCATCCTTGTATGGCATACTATAGTACATTTTTTCCCAGCTGAGAAAATATGCCCCTCCCACTTTTCAAGAGTTACATCTGATTGGCTGTTGCAAACCTGTCCGATTTTGTCCCGAAGTAATGATGCATTTCTAAATGAGTTCATTCATAATCGTTGGGATGACCATTTCTGATGAGTAAGATATTTAGCTAAATTATATAAAGATACATACCGTACATTCTTTATTTCAAACATAAGCACTTAGGAAGTTTATCAGAAGTGTTATACAGTACATGAATTAATTGTTAAACACTGGTAGCAAATTCACGCTTTTGGAGGATGCATTAAATAAAGACTTATTTTTACCCACAATAAGGCATACTAAGACAAATTACGTATCAGTAATACTACATTATGCAAAACTAACGTTTTAAAAGATCAGAATCACATTGAAATATTACACGGCTGTTAGCAGAGGCGGGAAAAATGACTGCAAACAACTTCATATTTTTCCTTAACAGTTTCTTTAAGGTCACAAGTGCCATCCTGACACACTTCAGTAAGTTTACCTCAGATCTATAATACTTCCACATCATTAAGCAGTGTACTGTACTCTACCTTATTCTCTTGGGGTGGTGCTCCTTGACTATTTTAGAAAATATTTGTACTGAATTTGGATAATATCTCAGCCTTTTTTTGTCAATACAGTACATACTGAATTGCTTTGGGGTATTATTGACCAATTCTTATGTGTTTTTGTTTTTAAGATATTTTCTGCCATTTCAAGGGCTCAATTTAGGGTGCATATGTTTTGTTATACCTTTTTACAGATCGTTTGACTTTTGAATTCGGAATTTGTAATATGGGTACCTGTATACTGTACTGTTCAGTACTGCACAGCATATGTAAGGTGAGGTCTCATTTTTTGCTAATGAAACATTTAACACTTGATCCATCAGTCATAAATTTGCCTGCATTTTGGGTACAGATATAAATTGGTGGACAGGATACCATCTATGCTGCACAAACTAAAAATAATGTTTTTCTCCATAAATGGCTTTTTTATGTAAAGACCTTAATATACTCACTGTACAACTGCTGTTTATGATATGTGGAGCACTGTTTATGTAAATATTTTAATTAAAATTCTCTGAATGAAAGAATAATTTAGAATTGTACATTTTTACTATTAATTTCCTCTCTGCTCTCTCTGTTACATATACTGTTGCTGTTCATTGGTTCAGTGCACAATTAGTGTTAATTAATGACTTTTTTTCAGTACAGTATATACGGTATTACTTTAAGAGACATCAGTGCACAGGTTGCATGCCATACTTACAACTCAGAGCCCGGGATAAATTCTGAGTGTACGTCAGAATGGTGAGAATTAGTGGTCAAGGTAATTGTTCTCATTAACCTAGAAGCCTTATCACTGTACATAACTTTAGGTAATAAATACTAATATTTATTAGGCCAGACTTCCTTACATTCACTCAGCAGAGAAAAATTAAGTACTGTACTGTACAGTAGTAGTTTTCTGTAAGAGGAGCAGCTGTTGTGGCCAGTGGGGCAACAATATTAAAACCTCAGATGATTATTTGTTTCAGTTTTTCTAAGATTAAAGTTTACCAATGACAATTTTAGTTTATTTCCTGAAATAAGCATAAATTTCTTCACAAGTCTTCAAACCCCTGAAATTGTTTGAATGAGGAATTTCTGTAATCTCTTACATCTTATGAGAAATATAACTATCTCTCACACCTTATGAGAAATCCATCTACAATTCTCATAAATGAAGAATCTGTCTATACAATATACAGTATCTGACATTTATAAGAAATCTCTATCTTCTACCTTCTGGAAACTTCTCTTCAGGGAGTGGCCACATGTAGAATCACACAGAATATTTTCTACCAGTGATTATCATCTCCAAAGCTTTAAACATAAATCAGCTTATTCTGAATATTTAAAAGTTTTGTTTTGTAGAATCTAACCCCTAGTGAGCATTATAAATAAACCTATCAGTTGAGATACAATACTTAAAAACAACACTACTGTATGAGAATACATACCTTAAAAAGCATTTGAAATGTTTGCTGGAATATTTTAAATTTTATTGTGAAAAAGATACCTGTTATTTACCCTGATAAATGAACACTTGCAAAGGAAGAGGGTTGCTTAGACAAACTTATGGAGTTGGAAGCTTAACCCTCTCGTGGTCTTTCAACACAAATTGTGTCGCTAAGCACTCCCGTGCTGGAGCATACCTTCCCCCTTCCCGGTCAGCCGTATCTCACACGGAGAGCACCCCACCTGTAAGTAGAAATGTGGGAACAGTGGACCAGCCTTATTAACCACCAAAGTTCCTCCTGCTAACCTTGTGGGCTGGCAAATGCATTTCTAGGGGGTGCACTTTGGGTCTGGATTGCTCTACCCAATGTTTACTAAGATGGAAAAACCATTCCTGTTACCAACGCAACCTGCATCGAAAGACTGAGGGGGCGAGATTATAAATGACACTACAGGTATTTACGTTGAAAGACCATGAGGGGTCGACATTTTCAACGATGGCCAAGAGTACCAGAGGGTTAAAAGAAAACCAGAAAGAAAAATAAAGAGTGAACTCATTCAAGACCTTTGATCAACACTGGTGCAGGTACATTTACACTCTAGAACCAGTACTTGCCAACAGTGTGTAGCAGAGACGTGACCGACCGCCTGCCCAAGCGGATAACAAGCCGATCAGTGGTAAAGAGGATAAAGAAAAGTAAAAAGGAAGGTAACATAGCTTAAACCAGATTGACTCATAAGACAATACAGTGACCCCTCGTTTAACGAACGCCTCGGTTAACGAAATTTCGGTTAACGAACTGCCTTCCATAAGGATCTTCAATTCGGTTAACGAACAAAAATTCGGTTAACGAATTTCTTACGAACCGACCTCAACAAGTTTTCGCTTGCACTGACCGGGCAACCAACTTTAGTATCAGTCCGCCAATACATTAATCGGTTCTAGGGCTTAAATTCCTTACTATTTTAGTAAATATCAAGAAGTTTATACTATTCAATAATTTTAAAAGTTTAATATTCAATTTTTTAATCATTTTAACAATTATTGAACATAATTGAAGGTAAAGTGACTAGTTTAATGCGCGGCATCCAGCCTCTTAACACAGCATAACAGGAGTTAGTCTCTCTCTGTTTTCACTGGAGGTAACATCTTGCTTGAGACTCTCTTCAACTAAATGCTTTTTTTCTGTGTTTCCAAGCAAATTATTGGTCATTTTGAAATATATTTTACATATTGACAATATATAATGCAGTGCAGTGTTGATTTAAAGAAAATAATCTTGAATTACACCAAGAGAGCTAAAATTTTATGGGTGAAATGGCGCCATGGGGTGACTTCTCTTCCACCCCAATGCCTTCTCTTCTTCCTTCTCCTCCACCCCCATTCTAAATCCCATCATCATCATCATCATCCAGGAGCCTTCTACATACACACCTAAAAGTAAGTGAACTTTTCTACCATTATTGTTGAATTTAGGAAATTTTCGGTGAGCTGGAACCAATTACCCAAAAACCCATTGAAACAATGGTTTCGGTTAACGAACTTTTCGGTTAACGAACGACCTTCTGGAACGGATTGAGTTCGTTAACCGAGGGGTCACTGTATGTTGTTCAGGAAAATGATAAACTGCCAAATGATGTTGCAGTGCCTCTATGGCCAAATAATGGTTAATAGACAAAAATTAATCACTTCACCCATTTGGAGACTAATGCTACTTGGTGTATTACTTGGGGCATGAAATGATGCTACCAATTAAAGTGAAAAGACATGGTTTTCGTTATAGGTGATTAACTACCAACTTGTAGAAAGAGATAGACCATCTAAAGATAAATCACAATACTGTAGGAGGAAGCTGGAGGTGGCACATAATACAATATCAATATTTGATGATACAGTAGTGAGACCCCGAGACTTTACGAGTCTTGGGGTCACACCCTCAGGAAATACAAAGAAATCTTGCTCTTACTTTACCTGGAGTTCTAGGACTTGGATAGGCAACAATATCTTGGTCTTGATAGACGAGTTAAATCAGTGGCAATATAACAGGCTGGCAAGCATGCGATTCTTTCTAGCACAGCAACAGTTTGCAGCTTCAACCTCATGAGTGTGACCACTTCAACTTTTGGAACCTGTGAATGAACCAAATGTACACTAGTACTAGCTCAACATATATTACATGGTTTTCTACAACTTGTTGGGTGGCAACCCCAGGAGAGAAGGGTTACCTTACCCCAATAAACAGATGTGGTTGGTGGCCAACTCAGCACACACCATGGCAGAAAAGCATTACGCAAACCTTTCCTGGTTAAGGACTAAACCCGTTTTTCATGGGTTGTGACTCCAAAACACAAAGAAAATTTGTAAAATATCTTTTGATTAAACAATGAAACAGGTGTAAGTTAAAACACTCGGTATTTATTATATCTTTATTTACAATATTTACATAAAACCTAACCACAGCATACACAAACATTAAACTCATTAGGAAAGCAACTGTACATTTATTAGTTTTAGAAAAAAATACATTCTTAGAGGCAGATAAAGTTGAGCAAAATGAAAAAAATAAGTACAGCATCAAAAGAAAACGTAGAATTTATCCTAAAATTCCATTTTATGTCCGAGTCTGGAACTAGACAACTCATGAATCATAGCCATGAGTCTGAATTGTTGACCTGGATTTAACCCTTAGACATCAAAGAATAAGATTTATTCATGAATTAAACTTCTTATCACAACTATAAGTCTCAAGAGAGGTCTTTAGGTGCAACACTTCCCCACTTAAAATAGGAAGAAATGAGTCATGAACACTGTGTTAATGTATATTCAATCTAACCTTCATGTGACCGAGCCAGAATGAAGTTACCAGGCAGCCAGCTCTTCAGTCTAGTTGATTTCCATGTTACACAGTGGAGGGAAGGAGGGCATGGGAGTTGCCTAGTTCCTGGCTCAGTCATACAGAGATATTTCATATTTGGATGATGCCCTTCACTAAGGAACTCATAAATTATGAAGACAGAAAACTGGGAGTGGTGGTCATAGAATCTTTTTGGGGACTTGGATACAATGAGGAAGGAAAGTTAACTCGTGAATTAGTCTATGATGTCTAAGGGTTAAACATAAGTTATAACCGAGACTTATGGCTATAATTTTAAGTTGTCTAGTAACGGTTGTTGGTCATAAACTCAAACAAGACAATCATAATTTTGAAGGGCATGTTAAAATCCTTGCATATAGAAACCTGGAGCATGTACCATGTGGTATACCCCAAAGTTCCATACTTAGGTTTTGTTATAAAGTATGGATAAAGGATTGACTCTGGATATCTCATTTTATAGCAGAGTTGGGACAGAGAGCGTTGTAATTTTACCTAAGAAGACTAGAGATACAGGCCAAGCTAGACCTAGACAGGAGTGACAGGTGGCACTAATTTAAAACCATTAATATATTCTGCCATCACTACCCTAGTCCTTGGAGGGGAGTCTGGGAGGTGTAGGTTAGAAAGTCTTGGTACGACAGCAGCTCATGCACATTCAGCTTTACTTGTCCATTGTCAACCATAATAGATTTCCAGCACCAGGCCTTAGTCCAGCTGAACTCCAAGACAGAATACAAGGGAGTGGGAATGGTTGCAAGTTTTCTTGCCCTGACTCTTCTGTAAAATGGGATTTTCAGGATCAACCCTTGATTTATAGCCTGGCATCTGGCCATGAAGACCCACACTTCTGTAGTCAAGTAGAGAGGGAGAAAGTGGTGTCAAATAAAACTAATACTATCCGTAACTGTATCTTGTAGGTAAGCTACCTAAAAGCGATGGTGAAAAACTATTACGTACTGTACCTTACAAACACCCCATTGTGATACAACTCTCCTGCACTATCTCCCATTTTAACTTATATTAATGACGTTCTTCTGAGAAAGGCTACCGAGTGTAGAAACACCCGATGAATCTATTTATCTATGTGTAGCAAGGTAGCACAAGTCTAATATCAAGAAGTCTCATTCTTTGATGAATATTTAAGGCTCAGTCTAGGGCTCCCCTTACTATGAGAGAAAGAGAGGCTCCATAAATGTTTTGGAAGACAAATCCATGGCAAAAGCCTCTAAAGCAACCTGTAATGTTAGCATTTCACTTTGCTATAAATAATGATATCAGTAAATCCAACTCAGAACTCTGCAAACAAACCACAAAACTTTTTTTACTTAAAACTGTAAAAACAAGAATCAATTAATTCTGATAGAGAAGAGATACTATTCTGATCAACCACTAAAGAACTATTAATTTAAGAACGTTCTTTCAACTCCAACAGAGTCCTGAGATCCAGCAAATGGTAAGGGGGTCCAATTGACAAAACTGATAAAGCCCCTTCCCACAAAAAAAGAATGGGGGGGTCTTTGTTGTCCCAAATAATCCTCTTGCTTGGTGTTGTAAAGCTGATGCTCCACAACAAGAACACCATCCCCTATAAGCTTCTCTCTTCCAAGCCCTCCATCAACTGGCTAAGGTTTTCTAAAAGGTTTAACACTGAGGTTTCTTGCCAAATCTCTAATGAACAAAG